GTTGAGTTTGCACTCAATAATTCCGTGCACGCCTCTACCGGCTACACTCCGTTCTATGTCAATGGCCTCACACACCCACGCGTTCCGTTAACGCTACCACCGAGTGGTTCAGGGCTTGGTGGGGGAGAAGTTGCCGATCGGCTTGCTGATGTCAGCCCTAATACTGTTAGGAAACAGGTAAATGCGTTTCTCGCAACGCGACTAAATGTCTTACGACATGTGCAAGATGCAATGGCTGATAGTCAAGATAAACAAAAGAAATATGCAGATGCGAAAGGCAGAGGTTGTATTAATGATTATGAGGTCGGAGACCAAGTATTACTTAATGATAAAAATCTACCTACCACTGTAGTATCCGCTGTCTTTAAGACGAAGTTGCGTCCGCGCTTTATTGGACCCTTTAAGGTCATTGCCAAGAAAGGCACAGCGTATACGCTTAACTTGCCGCGCAAATTGCGTACACATCCTGTGTTCTATGTCGCCATGCTGAAACCTTATCGGGATTCGTCCCAAATAGACGCTAAGGCGCTCGCGCCGAGCCCATTGGCATTGTCGCGGGACGAAGCATCTGCACCAACGGGTCAAGCTGACCCTGCATTCGGGTCCGACTATCTTCCAGGGACGCAAGCCGGGAGCTCATCGACTACCTCTCCTCACGAAGGGTCCGCACCTCTTGAACAAGCTCGGCATGAGGTTGTGCCAATACACCGGCCTCCTCCGGCTTTGCTCGATGCGCAGGGGAACCTTCAGTTCCATGTCGAACGTCTGTTGCAGAAACGTCGCCGCCACGGTCAAAACCAGTATCTGGTGAAGTGGCAGGGTTATCCCGAATCGTGGAATTCATGGGAGTTTGAGACTCCCCTGCGGCAGGACTGCCCATACGCCGTGGACGTTTTTGAGCGTCGTGCGCAGGGTCTGCCTGTTGGCGCTGACGCTTCTCACCAGTAATGGTGAGGGTAGGCGGGTTAGCGGCCTCGGGCTGTCGTGAACTCGCGGCTACAGGGGTAGCCGAAACATTGGGCTGCTGGGTAGCAGGCGCATAATGCGTTCGTTGGGATTTCAATTTTCCCCGGGCCTTCAATTTAGCGTAATCATAACGCATCTTCCGCTCAAGTCGGATATCTGCCACATCGGCACTTGCCCGTAGGGCCCACATGCTGCTTAAACGTCGCGCATAATGCACCCAGCGGCTGATAGCCGTGTCTTCTTCGTCCTCGGTTTCCCCCGCGAACAGAAGGATGGGAACACCCTTTATGGGAGGAACTGGCGCACCGCGCACTTGCCTGTTAAGGCGTGCCAAGTATTGGCTTTGTGTAGTGATGTGGGGTTCCAGATATCGTTGTCGAAGTGCCGTGCGCGTGGCAACATCCTCAGGTGAAATGGCCTCAGGCCCAATGGCCCAGCCAGAAAGGGACTGGCCAGATGCCACTTTCAGGCGCTCTTCCACTGTAGGTGAATTGAACTTATACTGTCGGTGGACCTGAAGTCTCGCCATAGTCTTCGTCCGGCGCTTGGCGCCTTCCTCTTGGTCGATGGTCTGCTGCTGCTGCTCGTCGAGTGGGTTGGTAACGGTTACCGTTGATGATACGTCAGGCGGGTCACGTAACGCTGTTAGCGCATCTGCTGCACCACGTTCAGGGAACGGATTCGGTGCATGACGAGTATCATCTTCACCCGTGAGGGTGGCTAAAGGGGACCCATCGGGTCCCACAAAGACGGTGTCACTTTCGTAATCAACCGCTTCGTCAAGGTCGTCTTCAATGAGGTCCCGAAGAGTCTGTGACTCACTGCCGGGAGGCGTCACGTTATGTGCCGTGAACAAACCGTGAGGTTTTAAACGTTCGCTAAAGCACTACCTCTACGAGGAAAGATGTCGAGTGACATTCTATGGGAACGTCAGTGTGGTGGGGGAGGGTGTAACGGGGTTACACGACGGTGTAGCGTCTTTCCGAGAGTTTACGGTTAAACTCTCCTTTGTATTGCATATAATGCATTATTATACTTCTCTTTAGAGAGGTATTAAGTATGAGCGTTTTAATAAGGTATTCGGTAATACCGTATCTTATCGATTGGGATTCGATAAATCACTAACGCTATATTAAGTACATCCTACACAGATGTTTAGACGATACGTCATTCAATAGCAAAGTCTGCATATAATAATTACTATTATAGTAATTAATCTAGTGTAGTGTACTTAGAGTAGGACTATTCATAAAATCTTAAAGCATAAATAAAATCAATTCTCCTTTTGAGTTTAAGATCGCAAGTCGTTCTGACTTGCTCTCTTGTGCACTTCGTGCGTTGGTTCTCTGAACCCCTAAGCTTCTAGCTTGTTCTTGCACTCTGTGCGTTGGTTCTCTGAACCTTAAGCTTATTGCTTGGCTGACTAAAAGTCTCTTTCGTAGTTCCTTAGAACAGGGTGACTTTCAGTCGTTTAATTAGTTCCTCAGAACTAAGTGGCTTTTAGCCTTACTCTATTTAGTTCTCTAGAACTAAGAGGCTTCCAGCCGAAAGTCTTTCTCTGGCTAAAGAGCTGTGCAGCTTCGCTACATGCCTAGTGCTTCCGCACATGTAAATCCTACGGATGTTAGTTGCTGATCTTCAGCTTGAAGCTCACCTTCTTTACTTTCAGCATGGCTGAGGTCCATGGGCTCGGCCTTATCAAAGGTATTGAGTTTATACCTCTAGGTACCATAGCGAGCCGCTTTGAATAAAAACTTGGCGTTTAATGATATATTCACCGCTTCCTCGAAATCTTGAGATATGAACAAAAGACTTTCGTCCTGGCGACTCAGTGAAGATTTCTTCCATAAAGATGGTAGCTCTGACCTCTATTGGCAGAGAGCCATTGTGCATATTGCAGCAAATGCAGTTCTTAACTCTTGGACATAGTTCGATTAAATCCTTTTTCCTTGCCGGAAAGTTAAGAAGCGTGATCGCACGCGATAAGCTTGATTTGGCGGTGCAAATACACGAGACATCTATTTCTTATCGAATCCTATATTGGGAACGCAGTGTCTACAGACGTATTGGACGTGAGTGCTCCCTCTTGAACCTGCCACTGAGCTTTGAAACGACCAAGCCCACCCACTGCTGCTCCGATCTGAGCATAGCAACGCTCATAACCATTTCGACTTTCCGAATTCAGAGAAGGAGGTTTTCCCCTCCCTACCTTCGAAGGTTTTTCGCTTAATACAAACGGTCGAGCCTTTGGCTCTCTATAGGCTACCAAAGGCTAGCGCTTCGGCAAAGCCGACGTTACGTGGTCATGAACATACCCAACTAATATTCTTCGCTAACGCATAAAAGCCTTCAGACGTGCATTGTAATGGGGCACCCTCCGACTATACTGATTACAGTATAGTCTACTTTCACTGATTACAGTGAAAGCAGGTGCCTCAATTACCTCTCTTACACAAGAGTCAGAGGAAGCTTTACTTCTAAACAAACGCTTAGAAGTAGAGGAAAAGAAAAACTGTATTTAATATAGTTAACTATCTTAATAAAACTAATCTGTTATAACCTATGTTAACTATATTAAACTACAACTATGTATGTTGGCAACTTGCCCTCCACTCATTGCGCGCGTCCATCGGTCATTGGTCAGCGCGTTGGTTGATATGCTGGCCCATATCAACTAATGAGAGGGCATCTCCAACTTCAAGGAAATCTAGGAACAATATTATAAGAAAAGGTAATATTGTCAAAAATATTATTAGTTATAATAATATTTTTATTGACACTTCATATAAGTGTCAATATTATGTAACGGGCTCGCCCCGTTACATGCATTGAGCACTTCCGGACTTTGGGACATTATATAATATATTTAATCGGCCCAAGTTAGCGCTGATAATTTATCGAGCGCGAGGTGTTGCGCCTCAGAGAGTTAATTACTACTTTTCATTCCCACAAAGAATCAGTTGTTTTTTACAACTCATGTGTGGGAGGACTACAAGTGCTACCAAGTGCAGCAGAGTTTAACAGCTCTTTAGCCAGTGGAAGACTTTTTAAAGCTAAAAGTCTCTTAGTTCTAACGCTAAGTATATTTACGACTAAAGGCCACTTAGTTCTATGGAACTAATGAAACGATTACGAAGTCTACCCGTTCTACGGAACTGGTAAAGACTTCTTCAGTCTTCGAGCTTACGCTCAAACGCCTTAACAAGCTTACGGTTCAAAGAACTCAACGTACATGGTGCTCTAGAAACAAGTCGTATAAAGACTTTGCATCTATAACTCAAAATGAGAACTGATTTTATATATGCAGTATGATTTTATATTTGACCTACCCTAAATGCCCATACACTAGATCAATTACTATAATAGGTACAATAATATGCAGACTTCTTTATTGCACAACGTGTCGTTCAAACACTGATATACAGTACTTCATACAGCGATATCGACTATCTAATCCTACTCCGATATGATACGGTAGTATTGATTACCGTACCTTGACACTTATACTAAAAACCTCTTTGAAGGGAAGCATCAAAAATACATTCATGCAATATTCATAGAATTACAACCATGACATAATAAACTATCCAACTGTCGTGTAACCCCGTTACATAGAGGGCTTGCAATTTCTACATTAATTCCCAACACTTCGAAAAAGTTGGACCACCGACAATTTAGGGTTAGTTCATGCATCACTTCATCAGATATCTCCTTGACGTCAATCAGTAAAAAAATAGGACTACTGTGCTCATGTTGAGCCCACGCTTTTCTATTATAGCGAGCTCCAACCACATCCCACCTCCATGTATCTTCTGAACACGAGCCTTATTATACTGGCCATGAGGACCACATCCCATCACTACGTAAATACGGTCGAAACTGCAGCACTTCAGTTTCAAACAAGCAACCGTACCATTCAGCTCAACTCCAATACCAGCATGCAAAAATTCTTTATTTACCCCCACCATAATAATCGTTTCAACAGACCATCATTGCGTTTTATTGTGCGAAAGGCAACGGACCCAAGCACGCGGCTACCCTCGGGACAAGGAAATACTCTCAAACGACGAATGCCGTTGGACACTTGTAATGTCGACACCATGGCTGTCGAAAACAGTGCCATCGAGCAAGTCATCATCGGCGTCAAAACGCACCATTCCAAACTCCATCCACTGCATGACCGTCACGTAAGCAATGATGTTAACTAAACTAATCACGCCTAGCGTCCAGTACATGTACTCAAAGTTGCCGTCGTTGAGGTCGTTTGTGATGTAGCGCTCGAACAGCAGCGTGAATGTTGACGTCAAATTACTCCCCATGGCAACCATAAACAGATTGATCGCCTGACATGTGCTCTTAAGATACACAGGCACCTCTGTGTAGAACAGCTCGTAGGCCGTCACGTTAATCAGGCATTCGGCCACAGCAATGAGCACATACATTGGAACTGCATATACCCAGTACGTGTGGTTCATCGGTTGGCTAGAACCTCTGCTCAGGATGTTATGAAGCACGCCATCTTGGTCCGCGTAAGTGATTGCGCCGCTGTTTCGCCGAATAATCTCAAAGAATCCGGACCAAACCATTGTTAGCATTGCAACAATGAGACCCGTCAGCACTTTTCCAAATGCACTCGGTGGTCGCCCGAAAATTTTCCCCCACAACGGATACACAAAGCCGTCCAGCAGAGGAATCAGCAAGATAATCGTCAGGGGATCGAAAATACCTAAACTAGCGCCGGGGACCTGATCAGCACTGTAGTCGCTTCTACTGTCGGCACCGATCCGTAAATCGCATTGCTGAGCAATTGACTGAAAATTGGCATCCAGCTGGTCGTACGCGCACTCCCACATAATCATGAATGACGCGAAAGGCAGCACTCGAATCACCATTTTTATCTCATCCACCGTTTCATCGTTAAATTTGCCTCCGTTGGAAGCCTTGGACTTGTCCATGTATGCTGTATTCATGCCGTATCGAACCCATGCGTACATGCCAAATGCGCAACAGAGAACAACAAGATACGACAGATACTGTCCTACCGACAACCAGTCGGACAAAAAGGATGCCAGCAAATTTAGCGGGAACGCTGAGCCAAACGCGATCAGTCCGTAGTACAACATCCGTGCCTCGTAGCTAAAAGCACAATTCCCCTTCACAATCGTGCACAGCTTTGTGAGCGCACTATCCTGCGGTGCAAAATGTACATATCTGGGAGATCCAATGATGAATAAAATGTAGGCAAAGACCATGACTGCTCCACAGATCATGAAACATGCAAAGTAGCCGTATTCCTGGGTGATGGCCTTCGACCCTGCTACACACAATACCGACAGGTATCCGTACGAAAAAATGGCTCCCAGATTAATGACAATGTAAAAGTAACTAAAGAAATGTTCTTTTTGCGTGACTTCGTTAGGGTCGTTGGGATCAAACTGGTCTGCGCCAAACGTAATGACATTGGCCTTAATGGCACCAGTGCCCACTGCCACACCAGCAAAGAGACCGATATGACACAACAGATTAGCTACCAAGTGGTTGTCGGGCGCCATAATTTTGGGATGGGCCGAAGCCGTGAGCAAGAAAGCGCCCAGTGTGTACCAGACCCCAAAGACCCAAAGCGTGCGAAAGCGACCCCACTTCTCGTCGGCAACGTAGCCACCCAACAGTGGCGACAGATAGCAGATGGACGTCCACGTGCTCTTGAGGGAGTTGGAACCGACCTGCGACCAGCCGAGCTTGCCCATAAAGTTCTTGAGACCCTGATTGATTCCATAATAGCTCACCCGCTCTGCAAATTCAAGAATAAGGATAAAACTACACACATGAAGGAGGACGTTCTGAACACGACGGTTGCGCTGCTCCCATGGACCTTCAATGAAGTACGACGACGAGTTGCTGGGCGTACTACCCGTCTCATCCTGAACGGACGAAAGTGGAAATTCACCACGTCCTAATGCCGACTTGGAGTGCGTTGAAGACTGCATACGCGCCGCGCTTCCGGGCTCCCGGTATTGACAAATGCAGACAAAATGCGGTGATAAGGTGTTGGGAGTAAAGCGGGCTAGGACTTTTACACTTTAAGACTGGGGAGAAGACGGACAGAAAAGGAGCACATATATAATAACGTTATACAGTTCGAGAGCAGTGTGGGTTGTACGAAAGTAACTCCGCCTGTACACTGTATACGGTTCTTTCATCACTGTTTCTAAGTGAAAAACCGATAAGTAGATAAAGGTACTATTACATAGACTAGGGTTTGGAGCTTGAGAACAAGCTGGTCTGTTTGCATCAGATCAGTGTAGAATGGCGTGCGCAGGAATATCGTCGTGGCAGACATGGACTCTTCCTTGCCGATGAAACCGCTGAGATAAACCGTATGACATATCAGTTGGACGCTACGAGTCCATTTAAGCACGAGTATGCGCACAGTTTACGGGCCCGACCGAGAGGAATTACTGAAATGTTTGACGGAGGAGGAAGGAGAACAAGATCGACTTCACTGCTCAAATGCGTACGATTCTGTCACTCTATTCTTTGATTCTTTCTTCGTTTTACAGCAATGCCGCACTATTTTACACCGAGTTCGGACCCTAAGGGGGGCCATTAAATTACAAAATTTATGGTGTGGCGCATCTGGCCCTCGCGATATAAATTTATTGTACAACCGCACTTCGCTCTGTATCGATGATACATTTTAATATGATCCTTGATATTCTAGCAGTGGTTGACGAAACATTCTCGCACCGGTCAAGTCTCTGTGTACAAAGCTACGAGGTGCGACGACGTTATGCATGCCCGAGATACACTTAAGAAGATGTTGTGACTTCGTGCTCATCTTTCTACCTTCAATGCAACAACCGCTTTGACATTAGAGGGCTGTATAAATAAAAGATCTGGGCTTCGCTTATTGCACGACCAAGTAGCTTCAGGTGTTACAAATTGTTAAAGTCTTCTGCCGACATTAAATCAAGTTGTTCTGAGGTTCGCTCGAGTCAGTTTGCAGCGAGCCAGAAGACAGCTTGAATGGTGATCCGTCTTCTAGGAGATATTCCTGTTAGCCTCGCAACCTCCGAGGTTTTTTAACTAAAGACAAAATATGCAGTATGCAAGATCCACGGTCTCTATGGACTTTGAGTGAGAATGAAGAGAAGAATGACGCTGGCAGCTTCGATTTGTATTCCGTTCCTGACTTCAACATACTCGATATACGCTTCATTACAATTAATCGCTTTTGAGCTCCAAAACGTGTTTGACTATAGAGCGTCTTTTGTCCAATCATCGCGTGGCTCGCTACTTTATTTTGACACAGACCGTTTCGTTTCGACATCACGTCAAACGTCGTCAGCCTTTGTGTGGTTAGGGGAGTGTGGCGTCCTACCTAACAATTCGCAATGCGAACCTACAAACATTTTGGGCAAGAACGACCATAAGCAGAGCAAGTGCCACTCTAGTTGTTACATTTATAATTAGAACAGTCGTACCGATTGGTATGTACAAATCTCGCGTCCACATCTTGTGGTACACAAGAACGGACTACTTGCACAGTAACCCCAGTATCAGCCGCAAACGCTAATGGCATTTACCGCAGTACATGCCGTATCGATGCTTGCGACACTACGCCTACTCGCGCAGTGGACGCACTATCTACTATGTAGGTACTCACTCGTACAAGAGCGACTAAGGCCGTTTTGGATTATATACATCCTGCCAGTAACATGGAAGTATCTTTGTATGTGGCATTGCGTCAAAATGTAAACGATTCCTATTATAGAAATAATTCTTCTTCGATCGCAGATACTCGTGTCACATGCAGATGCGTATTAAGATATGCCTCAGTTTATCTACTCTACATCATATTGCCTTATACTATAATTTGTGATTGGCGTAGAGTAAGATTGGCTTTTGGTGTAGATAGCATCATGTAGCGCGCCACGCAGAAAAAGAAGCAGGTAGTCAACACTCCTTCAACATACATTTCATCTTCTCGCATAAGGCTTAATGACATCGCTTCATCGCTCGGCCGTATGTGTTTGCCTATATTCGTATATAAAAGTGCCCAATTCCTATGCCAAGTGGTGGTTTGACGCATGTAAACTCACCTCCGCAATCGATGAAAATCGTTCACACCTTGTTCCCTTGGTTACTAAAACTCAGCCATGCTGGTTGCAGCGCATCGATTTCCTTGAGAATCCAATTGTTTTACTTGTGTATAATCTTACTAAATGGCAGTTGTTAAATAATATATCTTGATTACGCGAATAGTCAAGTGGGTACAAATAATACTTCATGGCAGCAAAGGTGGTGGAGACTGGTGGCTACACGTTCCACGTACGGTGTGTGGCCGGCATTGAGTCCTGCTGCTACGTAGATACCATCAATGTGGCATTCGATCTTGGCTGCCTTATAGACCGTGTGGTCAATATATCGCACGTGTTCATCACACATGGGCACATCGACCACGTCGGAGCGTTTGTGGCGCATGCCGCGCGACGAGCACTTAACAAGCAGAAGCCGGCCCAGTATTTTGTACCTGCACACCTTGTTCCTCACTTAAAGATCATTTTCAAGGCCACTGCAGCCATGCAGGGCGATGCACCGTTTCCAATTCACATCGTGCCGCTTCGGGCATTCGATGAGGTACATGTCTCACCCAAGTACGTGGTGCGAGCGGTGCCCACGATGCACCGCGTGCCGAGTTTAGGCTATATTGTGTACGAGAAGAAAAATCGTCTGAAGCCCGAGTATCGGCTATTGCCAGGCCAGGAGATTGCGGCGCTGAAGCGCTCAGGACATGTGATCACGATCGTCGAGCTGACGCCGGAGATCGCGTACACGGGTGACACTACCATCGAGGCATTTACGACGGCGGAAGACGACGAGCGGACAATGGATTTGCTGCGTGTAAAAGTGCTCATCACAGAGGTGCGGAGACGTACTGTATTCACTTCGAGCCATTGACGCTCCGGTAGACTAAGCTTTTTTTCCTGACATTGCTTAGGCAACGTACGCCGACTCCAAAATGACGATACAAGACGCTGTTGACCGCGGCCACATGCACCTCGATCAGGCACGTTTGTGTGCTTTTGCAATACCTACTGGAATCCTTACCTGGATTTTATACTTTCTTTTTTTGTATACAGTTCGCTACCCACGAGCATTTGTTTCAGCAAGTGGGTGCACTTGTTCTCGTCCACTTCTCCGCTAGGTATAGCGTCGAGGAGCTGATCGAGTGTATGAAGGCTCGCGTACCAATATCTCTTCAGCAGAAAACGATACTTGGGTGCTAGCAAAATGCGAATGGCAGATATAAGGTATTGCTCGAAAAGGTTTGTGTTGTGACGGCTCATATACCATGATGTATTCTTTCCTACTAGTTTCATGGTAATATAAATAATGACACTACAGACAATGGACTCATGGTACGAATATGGATAGAGTCTACGAACAGGAGCTCCAAAACTCGGAAAAGTTGCGTAGCGGGATCGGGCGCGACGCACGCAGCACCAAGATCTCGTCACGCATGAGCATGGGCATCGGAGCGGGCGAGCGGTCAACCACCTCAGCCTCAGCGACTTGCACTATGTCACTAAAGCGCACGTATTTCTTGGGTTTGATGGCCTTGACGGGTGAGGGCACCTGCGGCTGCTGAGTGGGCATGGCCAGCGCATCGAAGACACGGTTGGCGTCAGCGTTGGCCTGTTGGCGCACTCTAATGCGACGCTGGCGCGAAATCTTGTCGTTTGCACGCTCGATCTTCTCGAGCACGGTAAGCGCACGCTCCCATTGGTTCTGCAGACACAGCGCTAGCGCGTGGCGGCGCGAGTTTTGGATGAAAGTGATGGCGTAGCGGATATTGCCGCAGGCTAGCACAAAAGGCGACACGGCTTGGCGCTGCTGTTGCTGCTGTTGTTGCTGCTGCATCTTGTGGTGCAGAATATGCTGCTGCTGCTGACGTTGGACCAGGACAGCGGCAGCCACGGCACGAGGGGAGTGCGGCGATGCGTTACAGGCCTGCTTACTAGCCTTGAAAACACGCAAGTCATCGTCGGCGCTGCGCGCGCGTTTAAGCGCGGCGATGGGCGACACGGGTACAACGCACGATGAGCTCATCGGGATGGAGCCGAGGATGGAGACGTCGGAAAAGAGCGGAATAATTGGATATAGCTAGTAGCCACTAGTCGAATTGGTCGCTGGATGGCAAATGGCGTAATGAATGCACCTGAACACTCGGCTGTGCTGGCTCCAGCGATTGGACGGCAAAGAAAATGAAACGCCCGGCTCTTGGACTCTGTATGCTCCATACAAAAATCATACGTGCACCATCGTTCGCATCAGAGACAGATGCATTTCTCACATCGCACCTAAGCGGTACAACAATACAACACTAAGAATTTGTGGCGTTGCTTTCGGGTCGGCCACCCTGGCAAAAAAAGAATTCCATAGCCGTGGCTTGAGCTTCCGTCGATTTGTCTTAGGTAACTGGATAACCGCGAATGAAGTCGTTCTTGACATTTAAGGACAAGGTGCTTACATATATGCTCGAAAGTGGTGAGGCCAAGGCAACGCCGCCGCTTTGACCGTCTCAATTAGTTAAGACGGAAGCGCTCACGCGGCCAATCAGAAAACCCATGCCGCGACATGTTCTAACTGGTTCTTCTTATCTGCGGCACAGAGTCGCCGCGACCAGTGCGCTGGGAAAAACTGATAGTCTCCTGTCTATGCAAGCCAAAAAATCGCTCCAAGCTAGATAGCAGTTGACAGGGTTCAACTTCACTATAATGTCTAAACACGTGCGATCGGTCTTCAGCATATGAAATATCGATACGAATAAGGCTTGTTAGTCTCCCATCAAGCCTTGTTGCTGTAGCAGTATGTACAACGTAGTAAGTACACGACTAAGCTTACTGATCATCCAGGCATATGTCATGCGCACATCCTCCTGCGTAATATCGGCAGCTCCGACCGCTGGTCATGCACGCACGGTCCGATCATGGCAAATCGGGAAGCCGCCCACTGACTCGGCCCCTTTCGCTTTTCGCAAAATTCGAATGTCCCTGCGCCTGTCGTCGTTCCGTCTGATAAATTCATGTCCATCCGATCGCGAAAGCGAATCTTGTGCGATACGTCAACACTGGCGACGGCGCGAGAAGGAGACACTACCGCCACGGGCGGAACTGGACCCTATCGTCGAGTCGGTGCGAAGCATCGTTACCGATCAAACGCACATGTACGACAGGCGTGCAGGCGCGACACCAAATTCTCGATGGGGGAAGTGAAGTTTCGGCCTTGCCGGAATGAAGGGCGTGAGTATCATCGCAAGATGGCTGGACATGTCAAGAAGATACCTCTGATAGCCCGACAATTTCCATCATCGCTGATCACTACCGGTTGCTGGCCAGCCAGCCCGGTCGGTGACGAGGCGGGACATCCGAACCCGTCGCATGTTGTGTTACGGGTGTCTCAACAGAGCTGTTTGACGGTCAGTAGTCTGCGTCAAGCCTCACATATTCATAGAAAGGCAAACGTGACGTAATCATCGTCTGACGTATATAAGGGAAGGCGTTATTTATCACCTACCGTTTTCGTTACCATCAACCACATGAGCGTCATCGCTTTTCGCAGGAGTGGCTTTAACCGATAAAACTACCTAAGTTTATATGTATCCGTTAAGTAGATTTTTCTCTGCACCTCAAGAGCCCTAGTAGCGACATGAGCCATTATATAGCTTTCATTTCTGTTATAGATTTTACCCTCTACAAAACAAGTCGTTTTTTCTGTCCTTAACGTCGGGACATCGCTTCCCCCCTCGTCGCCGCAAAGAGTGCGTGTCAATAATTAAAGAAATAGCGCTCCTACACACATCTGATATTGCCTTTTGTCCCAGGTCGGAGTGCTTCTTTTGCATTCAACTTGCTTCTGTTCTTCCGTTTGCTTTCTTACGTGTAAAAACATGGTGTGATGAAACGTGCACCCCTTTTCGTTACCGTTGGATATTGGCGTTGACTTGTTGAAAGTTGTCCGCTTGATTTGCTGTCACCTGCCTTTGGGCTCGAAAATTTCAATCCTTGTCGGACTAAGTATCGTTCACGACCATGCTGTGTGGCACGGCTTTCTCGCATGAACCGTCGTGTTTGTTGCTCGTAGTACCCTTTGATGCAGGAGAAGCATAGCATCATCGCGCTTAAAATGTCATGGGTGACACCTGACGATGCGAGCTTCTCTTGCTACACCAAAGGCATTCCTCGCTTGAAATAACGACACATTTATACCGCAGGAATGTTACAGCATTGCGTGGAAGTTCAAGCAAAAAGTTGTACGTTTTCGCAAAGCACGCATCCGACGCTTTGTTTGGTCGTTCCTCTGATCTTCACCGTATTCGTCGGGCACAGATAGAAAGCCCACTTCTGTGCAAACCAGTCAAAGACCCAGGATTCGGCTGAAGCAGAAGCTATAATAGACTCGGCATATCGTGCAAGGTCGCCGTGAATGAGGGCAGTCAAGTTATTACTTTCGAGGCGTCGTCCCAGCCTTACATCTTGGTCAGACTGAAGTTAGCAGCTCCACTTGAATTTGCTAATCGCGTAGACCTGCCGCCTATGAGCATCCTCATGATGTCGGCAGAATCGATTCTGATAGCCACTGCGTAAATCACCACGTCGTTTAATACTTGACATCGTCAATGTTCTTTAATACCGATTCAGATATAATCGATTAAAACGACATGCCCTAGGCTTGCAGAGGGAAAATTGGTATGTAAAACTTACGGATTGTTAGGAATACTTAACTTGGCATGTGCTGGATCGTGTTACATTCAGCAAGAGTGCGACGCCTTTTGCTAAGACGCGTGGGGCTTCTGCAGATAACCCGCGCGGCGGCGACTGTGCTCGATGTACTCGAAAAAGATGATATCGGATTGTCAAGACGGACGTAGCGTCTTTTTACTCGGCAAAATACTTTAGTCCAGCTCGAGTCGACCGTGTCCTTTGCCAAGGCGACTGAGAGAGTAACACAGTGTTGTTAGAGAAGAGGATGGACCAGAGACACCTGCGAAAACAAATCAAGTATAGAAGAAGAAGAAGCGCTATGAAAGTGCAAGAAGAAGGTGCCATTGAGTGTCAATGCGGCTATGTGTTTTGCGGTTGCCATTAGCTCAGAAAATTAGCACAGTTGCAGCTACGATATTAAAACAACTGACGGCGCCAAGCTGATGCGGCGGAATGTCGGAGGTTGTACGCGCAGAAATTTAAAAAATTGAGATCACTGTTGTACCGCCTGGACTAAAAAATGCGAGGGTTTGAAGAATCATGAAGTCTCGCGTAATGTCGTAATATCTTAAACGCACGATGATGGACAGATATTCATTTAATGATCTTTTACCCATGTCGTGCTTATTTATCTTTTAGATGGTAGGGCATCGTCATTTATTGTTTGTTTACACTAACTTTTGCATTACCGATCCATAATCAGGAAAGTAGCTTATCGTAACGGATTTGAACGTAGTTTATTGTAACGGACAGAAAAAAATGTGTCAATTTTTCTGTCCGTCACGACACAAAGCATTGCCATTCTTAAAGTAGTAGCTTTAACCATGAGTAGTGGCCGCATCAGTCAGCCCGTGGGTAAGATTGTGCATACTAATGTGGCTGTAGTTCGCATGCGTAAAGGTGGCAAGCGATTTGAGATTGCGTGCTACAAGAACAAGGTGTTTAATTGGCGCAATGGCGTCGAGGAGGACATTGACGAGGTCCTACAGATCGCTAAAGTCTACGAGAACGTGTCCAAGGGCAAGTTTGCCAAGAAGAGCGACTGGTCCAAGGCCTTTGACGTGCAAAGTGAAGAGCAAGCGTGTCGATTTATCCTTGATCATGGCGAGCTACAGGTTTCGGAGGGAGAGCGCAAGGCACTTGTCGAAAAGTAATCACGCCATCAACTGTCTGTCCAATACTCGAGGCTGTTTATGCTAACATTTTCTCGGCATTTTCATTGTTATTCTTCGACAGCATGTATCGAGATATTGCTACAATTGTAGCGGATAAGTGCGTGAATCCCACGTCCAATCGACCGTATCCGTACACTGTTATTGAGCGGGTAATGAAGGAGATTCACTACGCTGTCATCCCAAACCGAAGTGCCAAGCAACAGGCGCTCGAGTTGATCAAGAGACTGCCAGAACACATTCCACTCGCGCGTGCAAAGATGAAGATTCAGATCATTACGCCGGCATTGGGTGTACAGGCGATCAAGACGGAGTTGCTGAAAGAAGGAGCGGAGATTGTCGAGCAGACTGGGAGTGACACGGTGCGGATGGTGGTACTAATTACACCGGGGTCGTACCGTATCGTCAACTCGCTTATACAGGAGCACACTGCTGGTCACGGTTCACTGGAAGTGATTGACCTGAAAAGCCACCAGGAGGGCGAACACACGATCGATGATGAAATTTTACAAAAGACAGAACGTCTTGGTCTATCAAGTACTCCTGCTGCTTCTGAACCTGCTCCCGCGGTAGCAACAGCAGTGGCTAGTAAGGCGAAGAACAAACGGCCATGCAGCACGTGCGGTGGCGACTTCAGCGCTGACATAAACAAATATCGTGAGCACTTTCGTTCCGAATGGCACCGCTACAACCTCAAGCGCAAGTCAAAGAAGCAGCCCGTGATCAACGAAGAAGAGTTCAACGAGCTTGACACCGAAGACGTGGAGGCCTTTTTCACCTCTATGAGCTAGGCCACAGAATTCGTGTTACGCTTAGCGCGCTTAGCTTAAAACACGTAATTTTGGACCGGAATTGTCATGCAGCAATGCTATGCGGTGCAATCGCGGTTATTCTTTGAAATTGTAGCGAGTGGTACAGCCAGTTAAGACTGTCGTTCAATCGAAACTTTGATGGCGTCCTCGATTTCTCGTAGCTTGGTTGTTGTCTCCGTCATTTTTGGTTTATAAACCCAAATGGGGAGTAATTAGTGGAGCTAAACCTGTAAGCAAATTCCGTAGCACATTCAGCGTGCGCACGCGCTCATCTTGGCCGAGTCTCACCATGCCTAGCTGTTGCCATTACTATTTGTTGTCGAGTATGACGGAGCCAGAAGTATGGATATTGAGTTAGGCTCGCTTTGAGTTGCTGAAAAGTGTTTTCAAGAGGAAGACAGCGACCGTTCACCACGTCGCAGGAACTTTTGTACTTGCAACTTATTGTCTCGTTTAACAAACTCTTTAGGTGTCACACTGTGTTGCTGTTGTTTCTCACTGGAGTCAAACAAATAATAGCAAACAATGAAAAATATTGACGGCAAGAAACGAGTTTTACCATCAAGAACGATCCAATGGAGAACGCATCAAAAGGTACTGCACGTACCGGTATATCTCGTCCTGACGGCGGTACAGACTAAGAATACTGTGTTGACCACATCATTCTACCCTCTGAAATCCGATTGTTTCTAGTGTACAGAAAACTCAAAGCTGTGCACGCAAGAGACGTAGTATTTCGCGACTTTAGGCCTTAAATCCAGACGTTTGACTGCTCATCTAATGCTTCAAACGCTTTATTATCGTTGGGTGCTCTTAGTATTGCTCATAGCTTTGATTAAAGCTCGTACAAATGTCGCGAATGCATCCGTGTGCACAGCGTGTGGATATTTGGCAAAGAACTGCAGTGACTCGAGCGCTAGCGACGGTGTGAGCGTCTGCGACTCCAAAAAAAATATTCAGATAGACGATGTATTCTGCAATGACGATGAGTGTCAATGTGCCGACCACCACAAATGTGTAAGCACTGTCGTAGGCTGCTCGCACATTTTCCAGGCACGAAATCGACGTCGCTGTCTTGGTAACGTGACACTGTCTAGACGTTTTAAGAAGTGTGCAATCGATCAAGATCTTACAACACTTGCTGCGTCCAATGTGGCGAGTGACTGGATTTACTTTAAGCAGCGGAACAAGTGCCAGTCTATGGATTGTCTAGCTGTCAGGATGTTTCATCAGAGTGGCCTCGTGCAATGTGGACATTTGTTGGCTGTGTGGAAGACCAACTTATCTAGTTATGAAACGTCAGAGATTGTGACATTAAGCGGCATGAAAGCAGATATGATGTATTATTTTATCGCAGACGGCTCTCGTGCGCTTGATATGAAAGCTGGAACTTTTCTCTACTCGGTTCCTTGGTCTTCAGAGACGTTATCGTTGGTGACAAAACAGACAAACAGCACGGGCATACACTCGTGCTATGTGCTTCAGACACGGAATCAACCCAATGGTACGTGTGAAGGCTTGTACTTGCAATTCGACTCCAGTGTGCAGTTTGCCAACAGTGAAGAGTACGTGATGTCCACGTTGAGCTGGCAGGTTTGGCTTGCTGTAGTTGCTAGCGTGGCTGCAGCCATCGCTGCCATTGTTATCATGGGCGTGGTAATGTATCGGTTCCACCACATGGAAATGTTGACTGTCGAAACTGGTGAGGATGGTGGTCTCTTGGGGGAGCTGGAAAGTTTGCGCGATGGCGGAGGCACCAGTCCCATAACTCCAGCTAGTCTACAACCCCAGTCCCCAGCCTCGGGAGAAGGTCTTCTGCGCACTGATTTACGCCAGCGCGGATCACCCGACGCCACACAGATGGAGGCGAAAGCTGGCTGGACAGCATTGTAAATAACACCCACAGGAAGTGAGCGGCAATAGTTAACTATTTTGGTGAAGAAAATACAATTTTGGAGCTCTGTCTAACTTGGAACCTCGAGTATTGAAAAGTTGAAGAATATCTAAACTGCTCAGTCCAGCAATCCGGTAGTCCTAAACTATCGTTGTATCAGAAAAGTGCAGAGAAACACCATGGATGACGGAAGTACGTACCGTGTGTTGGAGCTAGAATCTGTCCGAATACTCTACCGATAAGCTGTTGTGCGAACGTGTGGTGGTCACCTTAAACAGCGCAGTATGACAACCTGAGGAATGCTGCTGGCCTGACGATATGTCTTAGCTGCTGGCTTTGTCATGCCGTCCATCTCAAAACAATAAGAATAAGGCACGCATACTTATAACTTTTTGTTTGCAGTCTGAAACATGGCTAATGTTAGGCGAGATTAACTCGACATCGCTGAGAAGAAAAAGCAGCCGCTGTTTGCTCGACATTCGATCCTCCTGTGCGGAAAGCTGTCTGATGTTGCTCAATAACGGCAAAGTAAGAATCTATTAAACAAAAAGTAGGTCTCATCTACCTAACAAGAATCACCGTTCGTGGACATTTAGAGTCGTCAGTGAGTCTGCTCTACTTTGCGCTGTCACGCTTCAACGTCCTTATCTTTTATTATTCTAATCATTCTCCGTGTTGTGACCTACATCAGTCACGAGGGTCAGTTCATCCGGAACAGGTTGCTTCCCAGAGAACAAAAGCTCAGGCTTTTATGAGCGTGCGTTTTCTACGGCGAGAAAAAGTCGCTCAACAATAACCGATGCAGCTGAAAAACCATGATAGTTTTTTTAAGTTATCACCCTTGACCTCTCCGTGTCCTGATTGACGTAGTAGACGGCAGTATTGCCGAATCAACATGTAATGGTAGCGTCGTCGTGGGATCATTTTCATACGGTTCTAATAACTCAACTCTTAATGTATGTTGCGCATTTTATCGCCGGTAGAAGACCCAAGAAACCTCAGGAGGCGTATCGTAGGATATTGGCCTGCCCAGCAGTCGTATCCATTCCACAGTCCTGCATAGTCGTGAAGCTCACGGCTGCAAAGCTGTCGACTTTTCAACATATTAACAATTGCATTCAGACGATGTTATAGCTCAGGACAATCCACTAGTACTTCATTAAAATGTCGCGAGTAATGACGAACGAAGACGTTTTGTCACAAGCTTCATTATCGCCGTGTCACCCACAAGATTCACTATTTGCTGTGCTTTTCTGTGCTCGGTGGATACTTCATGATCTTTGACTGCTTAATGAACCTGTTACAACCGTTCCATAGAGACTAAGCTAAGCCTGAGAGATGTAATTCAAAATAAGAAGTGATCGTCCTCATACTCTTGTAATGTCTTCCATTTCTGAAAGAATTATTTGCGTCAAACAACCGAGTGTAATGATTTCACTTTATATGAATGGATGCTGGATAGCTCGCATGATACCAAAAGACTCTTGCATTTGCGATACGAAGCATAACAATATATTTATTGTATAGACTTCGTTCATAACAATCTTTATTGTCCGACCTCTGCTTACATGACATGACCTAAAAGTTGCCATGATCTTTTTTTGTATTGATCTAGTCTTCTTGCTAATGGTATAGCCATTCTTGACAATGTTTCTTGTGCTGGAAAGCTTTTTTTATACTGAAGGTAGTGGCAGCATTGGCTAGCAAACGCGGTAACAACACATTGGATAAGCCGCGCTGACCAATGCCATTCAATCGGACCTGCAGCACGCCAAGCGATCGGCGTGTTTCGTTTAGAACAACCTCGACCACTGCTTTCGTGTCTTCTTCTTATTTGCTCGTTTTATCCTCAGTCCTGTATCTAGACGTTTTGCTTTAAAAGCTTGCGATCGAGAAGGAGTATCTTGTGTTCAGGTCCTGGAAGCCATAAGTGACAGCCCCGGCAAGCTAACGGCACTCAAGCATTTACCAAGCAAAGTGAGCATAGCGTTTGTCGAAAAGAAAAGCAACAAGTTGAACACGCTTGTCCTACTGACAGCAAAAAAAGCTCTACCGTTTCGCGTAGTAGGGCAAGATAGTCATGTGATGGGTCGTGGATGCTCTTCGATTTTCATATCATCGAGGCGTATGTACTTTTGCTTCCCTTCACAAGCTTCGGCTATGAGTTGCGAATCACGAGACACTTTAACTACCTGTATGATCAATTTTGCTACATATCGCAGGTTATGCCGTCTTCATATTGATATTTGCTCAACGCAGTGGCGGGTTGTCTCAACAAATAATTCAGAATACAAGTTACCACTTGACAAGCAACGAACACTCATTGAAGCTTATCAGCTTCTACCTTGCATAAAGTTTAAGCCTACCAAAAGTCTACCAAACAAATTTTACTAAGACTTCAGGGATGTGACAGCATGCTTGACATTCGTTTACCAAGCAAAAAGTTAACATTCATAGTTTATAGAAGACTCGTCTCATAGAAGAACTGGATGGAAATATTCCACCACAAAGGTACAGTCTTGGTCTACGTCCAGTAATAATACCGGTAAAAGCTGGACATTGAAGCGTGACGCTTAGGTGGAGCCAATCACGCTAGAGGAGCTCCTCGTGATAAGCGCTTTATAAATTTAAACAAATGTTCCGAAACTTTGTTTGCAAGACCGTACTGAGGGTACGTCGTCAGCTTCACAAGTAGGCTAGCAAGTATACTGTACTGGAGACAAGAGATATTCATACGATTAGATACAGGAACGCTTTTAACCTAGCGGTATCTTCTGTACAAAAGACCCAAAGCTTTTGCTGCGCACTATAAACAACGCTTTTAAGCACATTCAAGATAGAGATGAAGAAGTGGCGGTTATCCAATGCGTAGACAATTTCTTCAAACATCAAAGTAGATGGCTCCATATTGGCGACAAGTGGATACCTCGCACTTAAACGGATATCAGATGCACATTTCGTAGTAAAAAAAACAGTTACATTTTGATGATATTCAGACCCGACTATGTACGTGTTGTTTATTAAGCTTTTTGCAATCATTCCCGCAATCGCATCGCTGCAGAAAAGAGAGATTTAAAGTCCGAATTAACAGTGCCATCTGTTGACAATTTAATACAATCGACGTAATAGTAAAACAGACTTTTCTGTCCAGATGCAAGATAATAATACTCCATCCATAATAAGTACTGGCAACCAAGCGAAGCGACCGTCCCATTGTCAGTCAATACGTTGGTAGTAGCCATTGAGAAAATGAACGTCGCAGATCAACGTAACAGCTCATCGCCAATACCCATCGAGGTCAGCGTCGTAAGCGACACTACCATTAGCAGCAGTGACCGCTCCCGTTCTGACTCTAGCTCGGACTCGAGTGCCGATGCGCTAGACGACGACTACGGTGCACATGTCCTGTCGTCATCAGAAGATGATGACGAGATGAACAATGACGACGAGCTAAGAGATAAAGGGCAGGACGTTCAGCAGGACATTACAAACCATCTTCTGGTCAAGTCGATGACCTCTGGACTACAGGGATGCCCCGTAGACGACTTGGCCGTCGAGGATGAAAAACGACGGAGACGCTCGCGTCGGAATCTGAAGAAGAAAAGCAAAGGTAAGAACGCGCCGCTCATGGGCATTAGCCGTGATACAGAGAGTCTTCCGTCGATGCTCAGGCCAATCATGGTACGCACTCGTCGCAGTGGTAGCTCTCCAGTGCTCAGTGTACCAAATATGTCTACAAGCAGCACTACTTCCGTCAGTTACAATCGTCCCAGCAGTGCTAGAGGAAGAGGACAAACAGTGGCATTATCACCAGCTGCAGTAGTTCTTTCAAACGACACTGGTGTTGCATCCACCTCACCTTTGCTTCGAAAAGACTCAGCAGCAATTCGAAGACAATACTGGAGCCAATTGGGTTTCAGTCTATCTCGCAGCGATTTGGAAAAGAGTACAGGACGTAAGAAAGAACGCCGTGACGGCTTGAAAGTACGGTTGAATGACGCTGACTCGAAAAACAAACAGGGCGCCAAAAGCTTCTTCCGGTTCATCGCAAGCTGGTACGCGCCGGTAACGGCAGTGAGTGGCGAAGACAAGACTTCACGGAAAGACAGGGATCGTACAGCCAGTGCAAGACAATTGCGGTCGTCACTCTTACGACACTCGTTGTCCAGTGTCGGTGACAACAGCGATGTCTTAAAACCGAAGAAGGGTGTGCAATTTAACGAAGAGGCCGAGTTGTTTTACATTCCGCTGCATCGTGACTATTCAAAGCGACAACGTGAGTGTATGTGGCCAACACGTGCTGATTTTGTCGCAATGGTAGAGCGCAATCTGGACGCTGTGTATGATGAAATGGAGCGTGAGTACGAGGCGCAGCTAGAGAACGAGTATCTGGAGAATGAAGGCATGGCACGTGAAGAGACCCGGCAACGGACTATCGAAGCTCAGGAGCGGAAGGCTGCCGAGTCAGCTGCCGAGTCGCGACGCAGCCTCTCACCGCCACGAAGCCGCAGTTCGAGTACCATATCATCCTCTGTGCCGATGCTCGCACTGTCGCAGAAACAGGTGATAGTTTCACCTCGTGCTCGTTCTTCACACGACCTTCGTTTCAAGTACCTTAAACATCTTGGCATTGACAGTTAAATGGAGAGCTACAATGGGTTCATACTGTAACACTTGTATACTGTATGTGACGGTAATCAGATAAGTTATTTGAATTGACTTGTTTTCTATCAAATACACAAATTTTAGTCTTTTGTGTAAGCCAATCAACGAAAGGTGGTAGTCGGTCCAGCGCCGTAGCTCCTCAGTCCCGCTCTTTACGCAGCTCCATGAACGCCTCCACCGTATTAACAGCTGTCAGCTCTAGTTGTATGTATAGATCTCTATCTTGTCTAGCATCTTGTGTCTAATTATATTTATCAATGCTGATTATTCTTGCTCAATAGCGACCAAGATGGAGCTTCCACCAGCCAATAAGAAGACCCGCAATCGCAAGAAAAAAAGACGTCGAGCGGCTCCTGCAACTTCTACAATTGCTGCTACACCTGTGATGACGTCATCATTGAGCCCGGACACTCTGGAGGACGTCGAGTCTAACTCGTCCAAGAGTATTGATGGCTCCAATTCGACAGCATGTCGCTCCTTTTCACCGCTGAGTGGCAGTAGTGGCCAGAGATTCAGTAGTGGAGAGGAAGAAGATTATGAAGATAACGAGTACTCGTCCGAGAGCGAGGAAGAAGGAGAAAGTAGCTATAAGCCAGGAGGCTACCACCGTGTGCAGATTGGTGAGGTGTATAATCAAAGGTTTGAGGTGCTGGAGAAGCTCGGTTGGGGACATTTTTCTACCGTATGGAAGTGTTTAGATAGACAAACAGGAGATACGGTGGCCATGAAGGTGCAAAAAAGCGCGCGTCATTATACGGAAGCTGCCAGAGATGAGATTGAACTATTGGAATGCTCAGTGCGTGCGGCCCGGGCAGAGTTTGAATCGACGGAGCAGCAAGAGGCGATTAAGGTGGTTTGTCTTGTCGATTCGTTCGAACACAAGGGTCCCAATGGCGTGCATGTGTGCATGGTATTTGAAATGATGGGGGATAATTTGCTGACTCTTATCAAGTACTATAATTACCGGGGAGTGCCCTTGCAGCTGGTGCAGCGTCTTACGAAAGATATCATGGAAGGACTGGCGTTCCTTCACGACAAATGTCAGATCATTCACACTGATTTGAAGCCCGAAAATGTGCTTCTCTCCCATCATATCCCGCAGCTTCCAGCGATACGGAAGTCGCAGTGGGACGCGTTCTATGCGATGCGTCGTGCACGGCGCGAGAAGGGAGCAAAAACACCTACAAATAGAGACGATACAGCCAGCAGTGCTTACGATGTTGCTGCAAATGGCACTGAGATGTTAAAAGAAGAGAAAAAGCGTTTAAAGAATAGACTGAAAAAGAAGCGGCAAAAGCTAAGGAAACAGGCTGGACGCGAGGCTTCTATGGACGGTGATGTTGCATGTGGCAAAAAGGATATCACTGCGCGTCCTACAGTTACTACGAGCGATTCATGTGTTGATGCCTTGAGTAGCAGCTTGTCACAACTCGCGGTCTCTAAAAATGCTGGAATCAACATACCAGCCGAGGCAGTTTTCAAATCGAATTTTATTGGAGATGTCAATGATACGATCAAAGATGACACATGCACATCATCAGACGTAACGCGGACATGGTATCATCAGGTTGGACAGCTTGGTGATGAAGAAGATAAAAACTGGGTGCACTTACCTCCGGCATTTGCGGCACGAGTAATGCTTTTGCTACCAGAGGGCCGTGTTGCTGGCTCGAAGCACAAGGAGCGTGAATTTACTTTGACTGTGGCGACTAAGCCAAGACAACCGTCAGTGAAAAGTGCGAATGATGAAAATGGAAATGAAGTTGTGGAGACGTCATTTGCTTTAAGGTATCTGGACCACGTGGATGACGATGTGATAAGGTCGATTGAAGAACAGGTTTTAGGGCTGCGTGAATGCAGCACACCTCAAAAACCCACCGTTTCGACTAAAATGATGTACCGTGTATGGAGACTTGAGTTTGATGCAAGATACATGCATGCTGTGTTGGGTGCGTACATGTCTGTGTTGCATTCCCACGACCTATCTACTTGCTAATCTTATTATTCTTTTGCTACGGTATTAGATTATTTGGAACGTCGTATTGAAGGCCTGCGTTTCTTGAACATAGTGCATTCTTCTTGTGTTGCGCTTCCTGGATTCTTTCTACCGAAGCCACCTAGCAACGGATGTATCACAAGCACGGCGAAGAACAAGAAATCTGACGTTTTTATGCCCGATGTCGTCATACAGGGAATCAATCTTGCATCGTTGACTGGATTGTTCGAGAAGAGTTTGGAAGTAAAACCGCTCCAGCAACGACTCGGCTGCTGGGCTTCGCGCTTAAACAAGCTCGCCAACAGTGAAGGTTTTGATCTCATAAAACTCAATGCAAAGATTTGCGACCTTGGCAACGCATGCTGGACCACGAAGCATTTTACGAACGACATCCAGACGCGTCAGTACCGGTGCCCTGAGGTTATCCTTGGCAAACGTTACGACACATCAGCAGACATTTGGTCCATGGCATGCTTTGTGTTTGAGCTGCTGACGGGAGACCTTCTTTTCGACCCGAAAAGTGGCCGAAATTTCAATCGCGATGAGGACCACCTGGCTCAAATGATTGAATTGCTTGGTCGCATGCCGAAGTCGTTTAGCGGATCCCAGCGCGGTTTACGTGAGTTCTTCAACCGCAAGGGCGATCTGAAGAGGATTCGTAACCTGAAGTTCTGGAGCTTGCAACAAGTGCTTTTTGAAAAGTACCATTTCTCGCGTCATGACGCAGAATGTCTTGCATCATTCCTAGGCCCCATGTTACGCTACGAGCCGTCAAAGCGTGCTACAGCCTACGAATGTCTTGCGCACCCGTGGCTTGCTCATGTGGATGGGGCTGTAGAGAAGAAGGATCCCGAGGGTAGCAGTCTTTGTAGATAGAGATGTCGTGCGGTGTTGCGAGTGGTGCTGAGCTTTTGTATTGCCCGTCGAAGGCAACACCATAGCCTGGAGAATGAAAGTACCCTGAAGCGCACTGATACGAAGGGATTACAAGCGGTGAGTGTTGCCCCGTCATTGACATCTTAGCCAACACTGGCCTCAGAGCATGAACGTACAAAGTTAGCACGGCGTTAATGGAGAGCAAAACGAAACGACCAGGTGGATGAAGAAAAGCTGAAATTTTAATCATTTGAAGCATTGCAAAGCAGACAATACTACACAAATGGCGCCATTGTGCCTCACACGTCCTTCCAACCTTCTACCAGTCTTGTGTACCTCTCTGCTGAGGAACTTGGTGCGCTACAAGGTCTGCGTTGTACTGCTAAGCTACTTTAATGGCCGGTGACCAAACACGTTTTCATGTTGTAGCCATGTTTCGATGTGTACGATACGGCTGCATCAGGATGCATCACTAGGAACACACTTTAGAGACCCTGGATAAACATCTCTTTCGGGGTGAGATACGTCGGAAGATAAGCCTGAGGTTGGAACTATATGTAGATGTGTTGTGGCTGGCCAAGTAGAGCTTTTGAACAACTAGACGACTTCGCGAGCGATCGTATTCAGCTTTGGAGACTGGTAGTGCTCACCCAACCACGTGCTGCGACAGGCACAAGGACTGGCAGGTGATGATACGGCGTTAGGTAAGCGACTCCGGCCTAGCTTAGATCCATAAGGAGAAGTATCATTGAGAGGCACGATGCGAATACTCTTGTCAGTTGGACTGGTGACAATTTTTTGACTTATTCCGCGCTTCGAGTCAAGAACTTGGATTGTAATGAAGAAAAGATATCGCTATCGACTTGATATACGTGAAGCTGCATGGGAGCGACGAGGTACTAGTTTGGTGTGCTCATTGATCCATTACATGGAATAAGCTCGGTGCAAGCAATCTTGGAAGAGAAATTCCCTGGCAGCTGTAGATCAGCCTCTATCATATTCCAGATATGCCCAGGCATTGGTCAAAGTTTTAGTGCATCTATCTAACCCATCCGATCAGATGCACTAGTTGAGCATCCATTCGCATTTTGCGCGGTAGTAAACAGTCTACTGTCCTCCTCAGTTTTCTTTCGACGTTTCTCAAGATAAAATGACAAGCTTGCGCTTTACCTATATCCTCGTGGTGGTTTTTGCCGCCATTCTTTACAACAGTGGCGTTACGGTCTGCGATGGAAAATCTCGACACGTTTTTCATCGAAACTACGGCACCAATTGATGTTGATCTTGATTCGGATGCTCAGCGGCGTCTACGTGATGCCATGAAACAAGACCCGACCGACGAAGAAAGAGGACCATCACATGCTGCGGGTCTTGAGAAGATGTTCAACAACCGAAACAATAGTTGGATGACGCGCTTCGTCGAAATAATGAAGAAGATAAAATTGAGCATTGACAAACAATGGATCAAGTTGAAATGTTTTATCAAGGGAATGAAAAAGAGTCGTACTGCGGGCGGAAAATTTTAGGCAAGAGAGATTTTGAAGAGTTGAAAGAGGAGTCGAAGGTAGGGGGTCCTTACTTTTCTACCAGCCCCCTCGTGGCTAATACAATTGCTCTTTGTGCTAAAGTTGTTTGTATTGAGTGTCATTCTTCTACCATGTGCAGCAGGCAAAGGGTTCTAGTGTAGACTATCTACAGCTCGACGATCGTAACATAAGGGGTGCTGCCTCGGATCCAACAGACACTGTTGTGGCTATTCAAGCTGTCCTTATTACCTCTAACATATAAAACAAATAAAGGCACACACATTGTGGCTGCGTCCAACCCTCTCGATGACCATGCGGTGCATGTATTTGTGGCTTAATTTACAGTATTAGATCTTGCATTTGAACTGCAAGCAGATCTGCTGTACAAAACTTCCTCTACTCGTTAGTCATTCGCTTTGCCATGAATGAAACCTGTTACAAATGCATAGGTCCAAGGAACACTACAGGCTGCCAGGTAACAATCATGATCCAAAACCCGTATATGACAAAAGTATCGTACTTTTCAACATCACCGTCGTGGTCGTTCACAAGCCAACTTCGTGACACTTTTTCACACTTCCCTTCCATTGGAAATGTTTTTCTTGAGCACGGTCAAAGACCAGATAGTCTTCTTATCAAGTGATGGCATGCTGCGCATGTCCGAGACTCGGTCTCTTCCTCTTTGAGCAAGAAGTATAGACCGCAGTGTTTGGGTACTTCCTGCGTTTTCACCACCATCCCTACGTAGCGATGTTCAGCTTGGACGGGTTGTCAAGGGCGTCCGATGGCTTTGTCACGGCGTTGATCGTTTAATATCGGCGTCTGGTTCAGCGTCTAAAACCCTGGCAGCCCAAGCTTGGATACGCGGCAACGCGTACTTGTAGCCGACTTCAATGATCTCTTCCATCTTGCTAAACTCCAAGGTACCATAGTCCTTGACCGGTGGCCGTAGATACAAATCAATGCATTCCTCCTTCACGCGGTTCTTGTGCTGCTCCGATGAAACGTACGCCAACGCAGCTGACACATCGCCCATGGAAGGCACCACTACCGTCTTGGCAAACGGATTGAGCTTGTTCCACAGCAACCACCATCCCGATAGTGCGCTACCATAGTGGTAAAACTGAGTGCGCGATTCGCTGGCCACATCCACAGCGAAAATGTACTTGATGCCACCTTCCTCCTTCATGACATCAGCTGGAAGGTTGTTCATATACCCACCATCCAGCAGCAGTGAACCATTTTCTGAAACTGGAGGGAAATACCCTTGCAAACTCATGGATGCCCGCACATACTTCCAAGCCGGGCCACTGCGGTGTACACTCATACGCGACTTTGCAATATCCGTAGACACGCAGAAATAATTCAGCATTAAATCCTCGATCGACAGGTCGTAGAAATGCGCGCGGATACTTTTGTTAAAACGCGTGCCATTGAAGAAGGAAGTAATGGGCAATGTCATGTCTCGCAGCTTCTCAGACATACTGCTTAAACCTGTTGAGAGCTGCTGTACCTTGGCCTCAACCAAGCTTAAATTATTTGGGTGGAGCGCGAAGATGCCACCAATGAACGCACCAATGCTAGTACCCCCGACGACATCTACATGGATACCGCACTCCTGAAGCGCGCGCAGCACGCCTATGTGTGCAAGACCTCTTGCACCGCCTCCACCAAGCACTAAACCCACGGCATTGCCGGTGATTCGCCGACTCAGGCGCATAAAGTCCGACCGGTGGTCCTCAAACGGAATTTGCACATTGTGGAACCCACTAATCCACTCGTACTTCTCCATAGGAAGGATAAAGCGCGGCAGCAACGGACTATCCATCTGTAGACAAATTTTTCTCTTTAACGCGTAAGAGCGTGAGGATCCATTAGCCTCTTCTATTGCGGCCGCCTCCAGTGCAGCCAGTGTCCAGTCCTTTTCGCGGATACGTACGACGTTAATCTTAGCATCTCTTTTGTCCCAAGCATCCTTCAAAATCGATATCATGTCACTCACAAAGGCCTGCTGTGGGTGTGCATCAGAGCAGAGTAGCAAGATGTGATCCGCCTGGCGAATACAAAGCTTTGTCCAGGCAGTCAACTGTAGATCAGCTTCGTAAATTACCAGTCCACTGGAGCTCTCGATTTCCCCCATCCAGGCTGTGAGGTTTGCCCGTGATACGCGGGAGTTACTGATCCACTGTTCACCGAGAAATGCTTTGGCTTTTTGGGATGACACTAGCTCCACTGAAGCTAGTGTTTTCAGCGACATCTTTAAGTGACAACAGAAAGTCGTGATCTTCGTCATCTTTGTTAGAGAGAGAACGGCAATGGTGCCAATTGGGAGATTGCTGCCCGCTTTTTGCCCATCGGTAGCAGCGGGACTCGAGCCAAGAGAAAGCAAGTCGTTACTACGAGACTTGATGCCACTGGCGTCAGCGTTTCGGGAAATTACTCGAGGAGTTGGCATTCGACGCGCCAAACTTTTTGTAAAATGAATAATCACGGACGGGTACTTGCTTACAACATAATCGAACACGTTCCGTGACATTTGAGATATTTGGGAATCACGGATCGCAAACACAGAAGAATTGCTGGCTCCAGCTGCAAGCATATCCATTGCACCCAGCGTGGCACCTCGAACAAGATCATTCATCGTCTCCAGTTCTTTGCCGCGATGCGAGTGCATTTGCACGACACGAAGGCGACCGCTGATGACTGTAAAAACAGCATCACACAAGTCTCCGCGATCAAACAAGCTTTCACCACTGCGGAGATGCAGCCATTCGAACGACGTATCGGCCACACATACTAGGCCAGAGTACTGCTGGATTATATGGCGTGTACATTTAACAGCAACGGGGTTGACTTGCAGCAAACTGCAAAAGAGTGCTTCGGGGATCCACAACAAGGTCGTATCCTCGAGGCATACATAGCGAGTCGCGAAGAAATGCGATCCAACAAAACACGTAGAAATACCTAGTTCACACCCCTTCGTAGCTTTATACAGCTCAGCATACTTTTGCGGGGCAGTGGCAACTTGGCTGCTAACCGATCCATCCAGTACAATGTGAACACCCAGTGCACTCGAGGAATCGCCAGCCTTACGGATTATCTGGTTCTTTGAACGCTTAATAACTTCCACAGAGCTAGCAAGCGTTGCTCGCAACTCCGAATCAAATAACCCGATCGCGTCCGCGACATTGTTCACAATCTCGTCTACAGCACTGCCTTCTTCACCACTCGAGGACGGCAAGCACACTAAAGGAGTAATATTGATGATCTCAGATGAAAGTCCAAAGTGATCGATCAGGGACTTGGCCGTGATCTTTTTCACTTGGCTAAGAGTAGCCTGTGATAGTCGGTAAAAAGCCTCAGGGTATTTTTCAAGCACTTTTTTGATCGAATGTATCGGGATCTTAAACAGACGAGTGCCGTTTTCTTCTGCTCTTGCAAACAAGTTCTCGCACACTTTTTTCACCTGGGCACTGCATTCTCCGTTCTCCAACTCATTTACAAGCACTGTCAATAAAGGCAGCGATGACGTCAATGTGTCACCACATCGCAGTAACTTGGAGAACCGTTGGTCTGCTTTGTCACTCTGGATCGTCAACGACGCCGAGCCGTTGACAATGACCAAGATGGATCCATCTAGCTCTCCTTGTTTGAAAATAGTCTCACCCTCCGCAAAACGTAGAATCCTTAAATCACGTGCCAGTGACTCAACAAATTCACCAGGTAAGAACGAAAAAATCTTGGACAATGTATCATAAATAAACTTGAGATTCTCTGGACCGCAACTCTGACGCAATTCCTTGGGAAATGTAATATGATCTTCCAACTCCAAGTGACGAATCTCTTGCATACGTTCACGTTCTGCTTGCAACAAATCAGAGAATGATTTCGAGTGTCTCGAATGATGACGCATGCGCTTGGATGTCGGTGACGACGGTCGCATTTCAAGCTTGGGCATTGTCTTTCGTGGTCGCACTTGGCGTGACGCTACCCACACAAACAATACACTAAGGATTAAGGCCACTGTCAATAAAGTTGCAACACCGCCTACTGCGTACGGGTTCTGCCCTTCTACATGACCACATACATTTGCAGCCAATCGCGACGTCTTGTGAGCTGCTTTGGCACCTACGTACGTAAAGACGGCAAGACGTAGACTGACCCAATTCCAGAATTCTAATATGGTATTATCTATCCACTGCATGGAGAGTCAGTGATTGATCAGAGCTATTACTAGTCAAGTACTATGTACTATTTTTTATTACTACTTTAGGGCTTGATTTGTTAATGTCAAATTTCGTAATGAAGCTTTTCAAGTGATGCGGATCCAAAATGACGGGGCTGTTTTTTGTAACAGCATTACTACTGCAAAAGTCTTTTTTTGTGAAATAATGACATCCTCTGTCGAGTGACTCGTCCCATTAGCCAGCCATTCGATTCAATTACTATGACCAATGACGAAACGAAAGGTGCTCAACTGATGGCACGCTATGACCGTCTGATTGCTGCATTAAGTAAAGATGCATTTCAATCTTCTACAGGAGTTTATGCACGAATGGAAGACGCTTTTGCTGCGATTGAAAAGGCTGAGAATGACGAGCAGAGACAACAACTGCTGACTGCTGCTACCGACAAGAGCATACGCTGTGCAGAGCTCATTGCCAAGAGTTTAGAAGCCTCTGCAAGCCTTTCTAGACTACAACAGACATTGAAAGTTTCATATAATTATTGTCAACAAGATGAAAGTGATGAGGATGAGGAGATGGATTGTGAGGAGGATACACCGATAGATGAAGGCACGACATTATTGCTGCAGGACTTGGTAGTGGCAGGAGATGCGGTGGAGGATGCAGCCAAGAACTACGCATGTCTGGGTGTTGTACGCAAGACAACGCGTGCCAGTCATGATCTACTGACGTCAGCGGAGAGCCATCTGAAGGAATATCTGGCGAGCGAGTCGGCTACGGTAGGAGACGTCGCTAGCCAGAACGACTTTCGAGAGCTGTACATGGAGGAGTTTACGACGGCTTTTGGTGATGAACTGGACCAGTTTCGTCAGGAAGAACGCTTTGAGAGCAAGGATGTAACCTATTTAATTTCCTGTATCCATGCAGGCGGGGACATCTTTTCGCCGCTGCAGAAAAAGCTCTTCGTTGAATCGGTTGGGGCTAGTCAAGCGATGGAATAGAATTAGCTAGCACCGACCGGTACGAGCAATACAGTTAACACCTATGTAGCGTATACAAATTGTTTTCTTTTAGACCGGTTGTTTCCCGTATACGAACAACGTAGTGCTAGTTGTACTGTGGTCCTACAATAAGACCAGGCAGTCTAGACGACACACTTCCCCATGTTTTAACAGCAGAACGAGCCTAGACACGTAGATTGCGCTTCGTCGACCTCGTCGTTTTCTTCTTTTCTTGCTGCGGTAAACTACCAGAAGTCGCAACAACGTACGACTTGACCGTGGGGTAGTAAGAGTCCATCGGTCGCTCGCGCAACTCGCGCTTTTGTCGACGGGTTCGTCCTGCATTCACCTGGCCAAAAAAGTCGTCGATCCACAAGAGCATGCCATCACGGCCGCCCTTCAGCAGCTCGATGCCTCTGCTGAAAAGAGGATCTACAGACAGCGGTGGGCAGCTTGCATTGTTGGGTGGAGACATCTTCACAGCCACTTGCTCACTTTCTGGTTCACTTTCCTCATCAGTCGCCACCACGCGTCGATAAAAGTAGCACTGGTGTCCCTCACTTGAGCCTGCCATCGATGTAGCCACTCGTCCAATGTTTTCGACCGAGAACCCGTACGCGTCCACAACTTTCCGTGGCGAATGAAAGCTGACAAAGTATTTGCCTGAGCTACGGTTAAACATATCCGCCATCTTGTGCATCACATCCGGTGGAAAGCCCACGTCAAAACTATACACGTGTGAAAATGGTTCGAACGTGTGTGCGTGTGTGATGTCCCCGACGGTAAACACCGTCGAAAGATGTTTGTGATGCTGTGAATCCAGCGACAAGACGCTGCGCAAGTTGTGCAACGACAAATGCCAGCGTAACTCCTCAAGTTCAATGCCGTAGGAGACCTGTACACCAGGATCCACAGACACGTGAAAATTGGGCTTACCAAGTCCAGAGCCCACGTCCACGAAACAACTGGTCGTTGTAAGTTCACAATTGTCTTTAAGATAGTCGACTACCCGTTGAAATGAAGCTTGTGTAATCTCTCCGTAGATGGCTCCACCTGCTGCGTTACCTCCTAGACTTCCCGTTTGCTTGCGGATGGCTTTGTAAACCTCCGAAACTTCATGCTCTGTGAACGTCCTCTGAAGCTCCATTTCTCGAGCATCATCCAAAGGAGTTGCTTTACCCGGAAGACCGATCGATAGTCTTTTCCTTTTTTTATTAGACACTGGTATGGTACTGCTACTGTTTGGCAAAATGGAGGGGGTACTGGAGCTTAAACGTTTACGCTTCCGACCTATAATCACAACATTACCGGAAGATTGAAAAGACTCATCTGGGAAAGATATGGACGACGTTGCCTTTATAGACTTTTTAAGACTATCGCCGCGTATGGGAGACAGGAACGAGCCTGTAGGCGCAGGAGGCGACATAACTCTCATTCACTTGATTGATACAGAGGGAGCGTAGAGTGGATGGACGACTATAGTTTAAAATTCAAAAAGTCAAAAACGGGTTTCATAGAAATTGACCCATGGGTTGAAGCAGTTTAGTGTGCTCGACATGAACTTTCCAACTTGATACCAAACTTCGACATTGTCTTCAACTCTTCTTCTCTTAATGAATTTCTCTTCTTCTCGTGCAATCATTCTACACCCCCTCGTTGCATCTGTGAGTGATGACATCTTGGAGGAAGATCGAGCTGTAGTCGAATGCCAGCATTTCCTCACCTCTTCGTCCTCTTACGAGCTCTCCTCACTGAGTCTCGTGGACTTTACGTGCGACGAGACCGTCCACATGGTGTTAAGCTTCCTGGATGGACCTTCACTCTGCTCAGCACGCAGCGTGTGTCGCTCGTGGCACCAATTGAGCAATGACGATCAGCTGTGGCTCCATTTGTGTCACCAGGAGTTTCATGTGTCGCCCACGCAGCTCGTTAAGCAGCCCGAAAGCTATCAGAAGCTGTACCAGTTCACCTGTCGCTCGCTCAAGACGCTCCTCCGTGACTACTTGCATGAGCAATGTCTCTCCAATCTACAAAACTCGCTTCAGATCCCTAGAGCGGCCGCGTTGACGCTAATTGCGTCACGCTCGTCTGTCTGACGCGATTAATATGTCAAACGTGAGGCATTTAGCCCTCTGTGTTTCGTGCGAAACACTAACAAATTCAAGATAGAAAGAAAGACACAAACAGACATTCGCAAACATAAGGGCATTTGACAAATAAATACAAGACTTTCTAGTGTCTGAGGAGGTTTTACATGTATCGATCGTTGTCTTAAGTTGTTCTCTTCTCCATTGGACGAGCTGGAGTCCAGGTGTGTGTGTGACGCATCATACCACTTCACAAAACTCGGCTTCTTATTCGGGCGACAGTTAAATGTGACCAGCTAGAACTGCTGGTTGCCTGCTTGTTACGAACAACGTCTCCTATACAAGTTTTTTTCTCTACCAACAACGCCCTAGCGTTAAACTCGTCGTAAATTTAGCTGTACGACCGCTGGTTCCACGGGTACTGTCATGAGCTTTTCAGTGCAGCTTTGGTCGCTAAAGAGCTCAGCTATATAGTCGAGCTTAACTCCTTCGTGTTAGCGAAACAGTCATTGACAATGCTTGGCTGAATACTTGCGCTGCAGACTTGTTGCTGCTGTGTAGGTGCAAGGCGTATAGGTACGATGTCCTGTGCAGCGAATCTACTGTCAGGTGCATTGCAGTACAGGCAATCTCGAACTCGCATTCTGATGCCTTCGTTCTTGCTTGGTATTCAATCTGCATACGAGTGGGCTATGAGTGAGTTGCTCTTTTGTGGCTACACGATACAAGCGCAAAGTAAGGCGACCTTGCCGTCGTTAGTTCTGGAGCTAGATTTGCAGTGGCCTTGCTTGTCTGGAATGGGTGTTGCCGTTTTCTGTGACTTTAGACCTTAGACGACGGGTCTAAGAGGACACTACCGCTTAACCTCCTGTCCTTGAAAAAGCCGAGTCAGCGGCAATTTCTGCCAGCAAAGGACCAAGCAAGACGTCATGCCACGTAAGGAGGTTCCTTGCCTTTTCCAATAAACCAGGGCATGCGCTGACTTCGTTTTCAGTGGCAAAACGTGCGTGCGTTTCATTCTAGCTTCGCCCACATCGATTAAGCACCAGCTCATCGACCACTCACTTGTTTCTTGTAAAAATTCTACGATGGCCAAAAAGTGCAGCGTTTGAGTCAGTAGACGCTTGTGTGGAGGGCGCGTCGTCCCAACTCATAGCGCGAGAGATGAATTAGATAAGCAGACGTAAACAATAAGCTAATTGGGTTTAGTAAGGCGTGACTGGGACGAAATTTCTGCTGAACCATTGATAAGCTACCTGAAATATAATAAGCGCTCCGCTTCTCGCCTCGTGTGGATTCGCACAAAAAAAATTAGATGCACTACAACTCGAAGCCGAGCGCTAATTTACTTAATAAAGACATGGAAAATCATACTTTATACCTGCTCCGACCCCAAAAGGCACTACCTTATCAAATGCAGCAAGCTACTGCGTCCGTAATCGAAAAGGAAGCGATAAGCGAAACGACTACTAAAAAAGAAAAACCCTTGATGATGCGGAAAAGCAGCAACACTGATCGTCTATCGTTGTAGACGGGCACTTCCACGAAATTGCCTCGTACTACTAGCACACACCTTATGTAGCGGAGCTGCACAGCTCTTTATCCAGAGGAAGACTTTAGGCTGGAAGCCTCTTAGTTCTAGAGAACTAAATAGAGTTAAGGCTAAAAGCCACTTGGTTCTAAGGAACTAATTAAAACGACTTAAAGTCACCCTGTTCTACAGTAAGGAACTAGGAAAGAGACTTTAGTCAGTCAAGCAATAAGCTTTAGGTTTAGAGAACCAACGCACAGAGTGCAAGAACAAGCTAGAAGCTTAGGGGTTCAGAGAACCAACGCACGAAGTGCACAAGAGAACAAGTCAGAACGACTTGCGATCTTAAACTCAAAATGAGAACTGATTTTGTTTAGGCTTTAAGATTTTGTGAATAGTCCTACTCTAAGTACACTACACTAGATTAATTACTATAATAGTAATTATTATATGCAGACTTTGCTATTGGACGACGTATCGTCTAAACATCTGTGTATGATGTACTTAATACAGCGTTATCGATTTATCGAATCCAAATCGATAAGATACGGTATTACCGAATACCTTATTAAAACGCTCATACTTAATACCTCTCTAAAGAGAAGTATCAAAATGCATTATATGCAATACAAAGGAGAGTTTTAACGGAAACTCTCGGAAAGACGCTACAACCGTCGTGTAACCCCGTTACACCCTCCCCCACCAGACTGACGTTCTCATAGAATGTCACTCGACATCTTTCCTCTTAGAGGTAGTGCTTTAGCGAACGTTAAAATCTTCCGTTTTTTCAATGCACATAGCATGACGCCTCCTGGCAGTGAGTCACAGACTCTTCGGGACCTCATTGAAGACGACCTTGACGAAGCGGTTGATTACGAAAGTGACACCGTCTTTGTGGGACCCGATGGGTACCCTTTAGCCACCCTCACGGGTAAAGATGACACTAGTCATGCACCGAATCCGTTCCCTGAACGTGGCGCTGCAGATGCGCTAACAGCGTTACGTGACCCGCCTGACGTATCATTAACGGTAACCGTTACCAACCCACTCGACGAGCAGCAGCAGCAGACCATCGACCAAGAGGAAGGCGCCAAGCGCCGGACGAAGACTATGGCGAGACTTCAGGTCCACCGACAGTATAAGTTCAATTCACCTACAGTGGAAGAGCGCCTGAAAGTGGCATCTGGCCAGTCCCTTTCTGGCTGGGCCATTGGGCCTGAGGCCATTTCACCTGAGGATGTTGCCACGCGCACGGCACTTCGACAACGATATCTGGAACCCCACATCACTACACAAAGCCAATACTTGGCACGCCTTAACAGGCAAGTGCGCGGTGCGCCAGTTCCTCCCATAGAGGGTGTTCCCATCCTTGTTCGCGGGGGAAACCGAGGACGAAGAAGACACGGCTTTCAGCCGCTGGGCGCATTATGCGCGACGTTTAAGCAGCATGTGGGCCCTGCGGGCAAGTGCCGATGTGGCAGATGTTCGACTCGAGCGAAAGATGCGTACGATTACGCTAAATTGAAGGCCCGGGGAAAATTGAAATCCCAACGAACGCATTATGCGTCTGCTACCCAGCATCCCAATGTTTCGGCTACCCCTGTAGCCGCGAGTCCACGACAGCCCGAGGCCGCAAACCCGCCTACCCTCACCATTAATGGTGAGAAGCGTCAGCGCCAACAGGCTGACCCTGCGCACGACGCTTAAAAACGTCCACGGCGTATGGGCAATCCTGCCGAAGGGGAACCTCAAACTCCCATGAGTTCCACGACTCGGGATAACCCCGCCTGTAATGGGCTACATTACACATATAGCATTAACACAAATAAACAATTACATGTGTAGGCAGGTGCTGAGCCCGAATAGCGGGCACAGCGTGGTAATTTATTATTGGTTTATTATTGGGCCTAAAGTCCCCAATATGGACCAATGATAAATCAACCTGAAATTGTGTGGTTCCCGAAAGGCGGGAACACTGTCGTATTTATTACGACTAAAATCTTCGTAATTAGTACGAATTAAAACCAAAATAAAAATCAGAGTTAAATTTACTTAATACCTAATACTTGGGCTTGAGTCTTCCTCGAGCGCGCGTGTAAGCTATTGACGGTACGTTCTAGCCCCGTTACACCTGGTAGCACTTTGTAGTCCTTCCTATGCCCGAGTTTGGGATGAGCGAATCGTCGTACTTTGACGCTCCAGATTTATTTCTGGAGCACGCGACCTTCCCCCATCTTACTGGTGTTGAGTGGGAAGCCCTTAATCGCCTCGCGGCGATATCGGGAGAGGCATTCGTCGCGTCGTTGATGAGATCAGCGACCCCTGACGCGCAACGTCTCGCCATACATGAGTTTATGGCACGCGAGCTCGCCGAATCCAACCGGCGAGGCTTAACTCCCTCGCGCCCTTCACGTAATGAGGCCGTGAAGATGGAAACCTCCTCCTACTCTGGAGAAGGTAAGGACCGGTTATCGCTGAACCGGTGGTTCCGAGAAGTTGATATCGCCATCGCCTCGAGACTTCTTGAGGCTCCACAGGCGAAGGTCAACTTTCTTCTTTCCCGCCTCACCGGGAAGGCCAAGGAGTGGGCCCTTGGTAAACTCGTTGTGGACGAGCACGCATTTCCCACCTTGGATACCATCCAGGACGATCTCCGTCTTGCCTTCGAGCCACCACAAGAGGAGAAACTGGTGCGATCAAGATTCCTGTCGATGCGACAGGGTAAAATGGCGATGCGCGACTACGTACAGATGGCTAGGCATCTGGCGTCGTGTATTATCACGCACCCCATGGACATGTACACACAGGTGAATGTCTTTGTCGATGGTATGCGTGAGGGGCAGACCCGCTTATCGCTGGAGCGCGCCGAGCCTGCCACATTGGAGGAGGCATTCGCCATCGCACTCCGTGAAGACTTTAGGGTCACAAAGGCCTATGCCAAACCCTCGGTCGTCAGCGTTCCCCGGCCTTCTGGCCCAGAACCTATGGAGATCGACGTTATTGAGTCGTCGGGTGACCGACGACGTGTCTTTCATCATAAAGGTGACGCTCGCACCGGTCGTCAAATGGTTTGCTTTCGTTGTCGCAAGCCAGGACATCGCGCGGCAGAGTGCCGTGCGCCAGCTCCAATATCGGTGCAAGTAGTGGACGCCCATCATGAGGGTGCTGTACCGGCCGTACGTCCCAAAAACGGTCGGGACCAGTAGGTGCAGGGCGCCCTACTGGTTGGAACGGAGGTCCGGGTCCCCCGGTGGCAGCCTAACCTTCCAGTCCTCCTGCGCTACGCGCACGGTTAAATGCCACCACTACGAGTGGTGATTCACGTCTAATTATTGTCAGTTTACATGTCGCCGGCGTCCGGCGACCTCTGCGAGCACTCCTGGACTCAGGAGCAACAAACAATTTCTTTCGTGAATCTTGTTTGTCGATGCTGCCTCCCAGCATTCAGGTCCGTGAGGGACCTGGCCAAGTCGTCGTC